ACCAAGCTCTGTCAAATGAATTTTGGGTATCCTGTTGAGAAAGGACATATTAAGTGGGTCTTTAAGCTTTAGATGAACGAAGAATATCAAATGTGCACCACTCACTAGCCCCCTACATTTGTTTTTAGGTTCAATGGTAAATGGATGGGGTTCTGCGTCTGATGAGGACCGTAACTTTTCTAGTCATAGATCTAGTGTAGGTAGCTCCTCAGATGACTCCATCTTTACCAGCGGCACTTTTGCACAAGCACTGGTTGCAGCAGCAGATAAAGCTGGGTTTAGGCTGGATGGAACCAGCCTGACAAGAACAGGTTTGTAGACTCCAAGTTGATGCTTTCTGCATGAAGGGTGTCTCTGCCTATCCTTCTCTCCGTGAAACTGCATCTCACACTTGCCTAACATGCATGGGATAAGGTGGATTGAGATATTTCTTCATATTTTAAATGAAACCTTGCATTATGTTTTGATTTTAGTGATTTGAAGTAGTGAATAGCGCAAGTTTTCAATCTGCACCTTTGGTCTGCTGCAGTTCCCCTCAGTGCTGACTCTGCTCTAGATTTACTGACATATGCTCATTTAATATTTCGGTGAAGAAATTACTAATTCTGCCTTGCAGCCTTTGATGATTCCATTTTCTGAAAAATCTCCTCACAATCATCCATGTTTCCAGTGATGAGCATCACATTTAAACTGTTACCTCCATCCCTGCCCTTCTATTGCATTTCATCCTGCAAAAGTGTGTTTTTCTGTGAAGTTTTTCTGAGCATGGGGTGAATTGGTGTGCTTTGATTGTTAACAGTACAAACTGTTTAAAGCTTAATTAATAGCTGATTTTAAAATCTTTAATTAATAAGTTAATGTGTTTTGATAACATTTAATTTTGGTTATGCCAACTGAATCTGCCAAGTAAAATGTAACACAGGTAAAGTGGATATAACATTTGAAAATAGCCAATCTTCTTAAATTAACTAATGAAAACTAAATATATTTTAGTTATTTTTAAATCTCCATGTGTTTTTTTCTATTTAAAAATATAAAGAAATATTATCTTTATTCTGGTAAGAAAAGGATACATTTGCATTTCCTTAGTCTTGTCAAAATAGCAACCATAACTAATTATTTAAATCCACAAATCTAACAGCAGAGTATGAACTTGAATCATATTTTTTGTTATGCTTCCTCAGCTAATTCCAGATGACCTGTCCTATAATATTCCTGTAATTTAAATTTTTTAGACTATTAGTTTGGTATGAGGTCTCTCCTTCAGTAAAATGTGTGCATTTAAGAGAAAGTCTCACATGTTGGGGCTGAAAACTGTAGGCTCTCTGCATGCAATAACTTCATGGCAAGAACTGCATTTTAGGAACATTAGGAATAAAGGAAAGAGTTGATGGCAAAGTCCAAAAATACAGCTTATTTCAAATCACTGGGATTTTTACCACTGGCTTTGGTCAGACATAGTCATCCTTAAAAGATTATTTTACCATAGCTGAAGCCCTCAGTTGTTTCCCTCTATTAATGGAAAATTGAGAAATCTGTCTTATCACTTAAAAAAAAAAAAAAAAAAAAAAAAAAAAAAAAAAAAGGAAAGAAAAGAAAAGAAAGCTAACCAAAACAAAAATCTCATAATCTCATATAGACTTTAACTTATCTAGTATGGATATATCTGGCCAAACTATAACTTAAAATATAATGTTTTCCTTTAAGAGTCTCCCAGGTTCTGAATGAAAGGAGCAAATCTTTTCCAACCTTTTTTTTGGTGGTATTTACTCCAATAAAAGTTAATGCAAAGATTCGCCAAAATTACTGTCACTTGTATCAAACCTTTGAGAAGTGCAGTTTCCACCACAAACATGCCCATAACAGAAGTAAATGGACACACAAACACGGACACTTTAGAATAAATATGATTTTTTATTTTAGCTATGTGAGTGGAAACTACAGTGAAAGGATGAGAGTCCCCTTGTCAGTTTTATTTTCCCAGCTTGATTAGGTCAGAAATGCACTTAGAGTGAGTATGTGTGTGCAGACCATTAGAACATAGGGTATGAAAAAGGATCCAGTGGTTGTGGTAGGGACTTCATGATTATTACCCTCTCACTCTCTTAATGATCCAGCAGGCAAAATGGAAATTAAATAGAAACCCACAGGCAAACAAACAGCCCTCCCTCCTTTTCCTCACAGAAACCTCAGCAAATGGTATTTTTTGCTCACTGCAAAAAAAAAAAAAATCTCCCCTTGCTCCCTGCAGTGTCACCAGGATGTGTCACCTGGCAGGGCAGGGTGGCTCGGTCAGACACCCCTGGTACAGCCCTGCAGCCCCCAGAGTGCAGCACGCTGCCTGGCAGGGCAGGAGCAGCAGGCTCATCCTGCTCATTGCTCTGAAGGGAGCCTGAAGGTCCTGACTCTTTATTCCTCTGCAGTCTGGACAGTTATTTCCACCCATTTAGAACAGCTGTGAAATACTCCCAGCGGTAGATGCTAAAGGAGGTGTCCAGCTTGATAGCCTCACGTGGGGATGTTTGATTGCCAAGCAGGAGAGGCACTGGTGAATCCAGATGCAATGTGTCTCTCCTGCCAGACACTTTGATTCCAGTTTCCAGAAGCCATCATGTGATTTGCCATGAAGTTAAAAAAGCTTTCCTGTTTTACACCCTTGGGAAATTAAATCAAGAATTAGTGGCTTCATCCTTGTCTCCACTTAAACACACTAAATCTGCTGCAGAAGGTCTGACACTGCTCAGCAGCTCTTACTGGCAGGGCTGCATACAAAGACAAGATGCTGTGATCAGTTATTAAGTGCATTGAAAAATGTGCTATGAGAGTCTGCACATCATTTCTGTTTGCCCCATGTATGATTTAGGTGAGTGCTATTTATTTTGCCTCATTTTTGTGAAGGGATAAAAGAGAATGTTTGGTGTCTATTTCTTTTTAAAACCAGCATTCTGAATGAATAATCAAATTTCTTTAGTCAAAAGAGTAAGTGTGAAGAATCTGTGTCCTCCACTCACTAGTTGCATTTGCATGTTGTGAGTTTATTTTTGCAAAACATCTGTGCCGCATGCTGTGAGCTGGGATGGAATTTCAGGCTCACATCTGAATTTCTTTGCATTAGGAATCTTTTTTTAAATTTTTAAATGAAATCTTAATATTTCATCTGTGTTCATCTGCAATGTTATCCTTATCAGTGAAAAAAGGGCTTGATCACTTGTCTTTGTCTGGCTGCAGCTGTGCCAGCTATAGAGGTTAATGTTCCCAAATGCTTATTCCTTGCTTTCTCCCAGCTCCAGAATTAGCTGCTTGGGTGGGTGTTCTGTAACCCAATTTCAGTTAAAATGAGCTAGGTTAGCAAAGCCATTGTTTCCAGACTATATAAGTTCAATTGTGTTTCTTTTTTGGGGTTTTTTTGGGTTTTTTGGGTTTTTTTGGGGTTTTTGGGGTTTTTTTGATTTTTTTTGGTAGAGGATGTTTAGGGAATGTCCAAATGAGGGCTTCAAACGTGGTAACTTCTGATAGCTGGCACAGATGGGCAGCTGGGGACAAGCCTGCCTGACAGCAGTGCCTTCCTCAGGGTGCAAAACAGTCAGAAGGTAGAAGACCAAGCCTGAGATAGTCACAAAATATCTGAAGTCAAATAGTGAAATATTATCCTAACATTTTCACATTAATGTGAAACAACATGTTAGAGAGATTATGGCTACTTTTTCACTTTGCCCTCTTGGCACTGAGAATGTTTAAAATAGGATGCTGAGCTGCATATTACTCCCAGTTAGGCTTTTCTACATCAGGTTGTATGTGACAGCATGTTGGAATTAAGCACATCTGTTAAAAGGGTTTGCTAGAAAACAACCCACTGCAGGGCAGACCATGGTCTAAGTTAACCAGAGGATAAAAAGACCTCCTTTCTATCATGGGCCCAGTTGACCAGAAAAATAGAAATCACCCATTTTGCCACTTTCTATCACCTTTTGCACCATTTGGCTCTACAGCAGCACTGAAGGAGCAGAATTTCAGACTGGCTTATGCATTTTCAACTGCAGATAGCATTAAAATTTGTAAGAATTTTAATTACCAATTCTAAATGAATTAAGATGTTAGCATCTCCAAAATTTCACAGGAATGACATACACACGAACAAAAGAAAGTCAAAGATGGGGATTTTTAATTTTCATCAGTTATCATTAAATATTAAGTCTAGTTAACAGAATAAAAAGACCAGAATAAGAGGAAGTGAATGTAGTAAATGAACTGTGCTCTTTAAATTCCAAGGCTTTTAATCATCTGCTCCATAGAACAGCATCAAAGATATTTCTTTAAGAAAATCACATAGCTTGAATGGTGTAAATATATATGAGATATAAAAATATGTAAATAAATCTGAGGTCAGAATATATATTTTAACAAGTAAAAGTACTGAAAATTAACTACAAAATTTTAGCATTTAAATATGCCCACATTTTTATTTCTTGAGAAAAGAGAGTCCTTAAGTATACAGTATTACAATGCTACATAGCTTGCAAAATTAGTTACATTTATCTTGCTGGAGTTACTCCAGCTATACAGTGCATATGGGAGCCCCTAAAATGAGAATCTGGCTCAGAAAACATGAAAGTGGAAGGCAGGAGGAGATAAATTTGATATGATTGCAGAACTGTTTTCCTTCCCTGTTCAAGGCTGAGGAGTTGTTATGACACATCTGTTCAGCACACAGAGCAGGTAGGAGTTACATGGCATACAGTAGTTTTATCACAACAGATGGAATAATTTTAATTATAAAAGTTAAAGACAAAAGAATGCCAAGTTTCTCTACTTCACTTGTTGTGGTGTGTCTTAAAGCAGTTGTTATCAGTGGGTACCTTGAGGGGACACTTGCCTGCCTCTGAGAATTAGACCTGATTTAATGTTTCAGAGCAGACATTAATAGAACAGCGCGTTTCAAGGCAATAACATTTTTTCATCTGGTTTCTCTCTCTTTTTTTTTTTTTTTTTTTTTTCTTTAGGCAAAGCATATTCTTCCTCTCAGAGACCTCGGCCCGGCAGTCCTTTTTCCACTGACAGCAACACCAGTGCAGCTGTCAATCAGGGTCAGAGGCCAAGGCCCACGAAAAAACACAAGGGCGGACGCTTGGAACAGCCTCCTTTGCCTCATCGCCGGGAGGGAATCACAGACGGTGAGTGCTGGGGGAGGAAAACCTGCAACAGCAGGAGAAGGCAGGAATTTTTCAGGAATATCAATTCAGGAATATAAATTACTGCTTTGGTGGAGTTGAGGTCCCCAGCTTGCCACATGAGCAGTGTTGTAACTCTTACAGTGTTGGGCTTGGGTGAGTTTTGGAGGAGCCTTTCCCCATTTCTGCTCCGGACACGTCATCATCTCTTAGGGTTTCTCAGATCTCAGTATAAATATTACCCCAAAATGACTACATTGCACATGAGTTGACATTGAAAAATGGCCTGTGAGCAATTTTGCATTTTATGAAAGTAGCCACCACTAGCAGTAGCTGTATGTCATGAATTTCTAAGGAGAAGCTGAGAGCGAATCCCACAGGACTTGTTTGGTTTGTGCTGGTTTTGACAGACACCCAACAGCTACAGCAACATGTGCCATGTTTTCCCATGATTCTGCCTCACCTCTTGTCCTTGCTGCTTCAGTCCTGACATCCACTGACCTCAGTGACTGTGTCTCCCTCTTTTACATCTCCACTTCTCTCTTACAACTGCTTCCCATCTGGAAATTTCAGGCATGTCTGTTCTGCTCTTCTAATAGTTAAGATCAGCTCTTTCTTCCATTTTCTTTGTCTACCCTTCTTGAGTCTGGCAAAAGACACAATCAGTACCTGTTAGTTTTTGAGGAAGACTGGATAGAAAGGTGGCCAGCTGGCTACCTCTCCCTCATTTCTTCTGATCCCTGGCCTTGCACTGCTACACCTTGGTTTTGAAATGTTTACCAAAGGGGTTATTGTTACACCTCCTGCTCTATGACTTATTCTCCTTGTGATATTATTTGTGGAAACAACTTAAAGTAGCTTAGATGCTGCTCCTATGGATCAAAGTTCCTTTAAACATGAATTCCCTCCCCTTGTGGATATATTACAGAGGCCTCTCTATTACACAGATCCATTGGATGGATGTGTCTATGAGAGCAGTAACTAGAAGGTTATGGATGTCACTTGTAGTGGTGGCCATACTCTTGCTGTACATGTTTTGTTAACCCTTCTGAGTGGTATATCATGTCACCCTGAATTGTGAGCATCTTAGGCCACAAATTCTGTGTACATGTGAGTTTGTAGGGCACTCAACATGGTGGACAGTAATCCTTCTGCTTCTGAATAGTATTGCTACAGAAGTATTTTGCAATAGTGTGGATACCAGAAAATTAATGGGGATCCAGTTCAGTTCATGAGACAGATGGAAGTGGGGCTCCTCAGAGTGTGACTCCTTCATAAAATTTGGCATTGTTTTAAATTGGTGAAAGAGATCCAATTTTAAGATTCATTTTAAAAGAGGAAACTCCTATTACTTTGTATTTATCCTTAATAAAATACTAATCTTACCAGAGTTTCTTTCATATATTTAAATCAGAATACCAATGATATACTATTTCCTTCAACCTCTCAGGCATGGGCAATAACCGTAACAGCTTTCGGATGCCATTTGATTAATATTTGTCTTTTGCAAACCTAGTTAAAATTCTTGCTATATGTTGAAAAGATTTATTATGTCCTGGAGCAACAGAGGAACAGTTCCCATCCTGTATTAACACAAGAACAAACAAACAAACACAAATGGTACAGTTTTCCACTTCAACTCCTACTGAATATGAGTCATTAAAGTGGAATGTCAAGTCTGAGTCATAGTTAAATTTGCAAAAGATCATTTGTTAATTAAGGAAGCTAGAAGTTGCTGCTGCCACCTGCATGTATGTAAACAATTGAATTTAGGAATCTCTGGTTTGCAGAAATTAAAAATGGTAACTGGGTGCTTTCTGTGGAATATTGCAATGAACTTTACAGAGACAGACAATACCACTGTGCTTAAGCTGTAGCTAGAAAGAGGAAGCAGGAGAGCCTCGGATAGGTCTAGCAATACCAAGTCCTAATCCAGGCCAGTCCATTCAGCCCTGGGCCATCCTGATTTCTGTGAAAAACATCACTAGACATTTTCTCTGTTTTTTTCTGATGTCTCCAATCCATTCCCTTATAACTGCTTCCTCTTGGATTTGTCTTGTGAGAATATACTTGGTTTGCCAGTTGTTTTCAAATTCCCAAGTTGGATGAGTCCTGGTATCCTGCATTTAAGTCTCATCACATACCGGATGTCTGTCATTTTCAATTTTCATTGACCAAGAAAGCTCCAGCTTTCTCTGCCCATTCCCATACACATCCTGAGTGCTTCCCCCTTGTTAACGGTAACCATATGGGACAGTGCAAAAGACCTAAGAAACTGTAATATTTAACACATAGCACACACATCTCAGACCATGTAAGCATTTGAGGGCTCAACTTCATGCTTAGTTTTGACAGCAATCCACACAAATCCCCTAAAACCCCACTACTTCATTTCCTTCAGCTGCAGGTCAGAAGCCTCTAGAGACTGACTCTAGAGTCTTCATATTTGTCTTGATGTACAACTTGTTTTTTCACTTCCACATCCTGAAATACTGTGGAGACAACAGCACATTTACAGAGGAAGAATATGTTATAAACCCCTCAGATGGTCAAAACTTTCATTCTGAGCTCACAATCCACCATGAAAAAAAAAAAAACAAACCAAATACCAAAAAAACCCACAAAACTACAAAAAAAAAAAAACCAACCCCAGGAGGGTTTTAATGCTAATGCTCAAGGAATAATTTGTTTTCCTAGAAAAAATGTAGTAGTAACAAAACAGTGGAATCTGTCATGTAGTTTGCAGTACAGTATCTGTGTGACTGAAATTAAAAACCCTTCCTTAACTGAGCACAATATGCAAAAAATACAAAAAATCAAAGAGGAGGCAGAAGGGAAATATGCTTAGGGTTTGAACAGGAGATCTGGAACATAAGACTTGTGTTACCATGCTTTGCTACTAACTTCCTACTGTGTATTAAAAATAATATTTAATGTTGAGAAAATACTTACCTTCCGATGCTAGAAAGTGTTTCAGAGACTTATTAAATGTCACAGTAATTATCACTCCTATGAGAAAAAAATCACTGACACAGATAGAAAGGTGTGTCCTTATAGGTTCTTTAATTTGCTGCTTTTTCCAGCTAATAATGAGAAGCTGTGCCAAACTTTGACTGGTGCCTGAATTATTTAGCCGATGCTCTGCCTTCTAAAGAAGGGCTGGAGTAATCCCAGACTTAATATCCATCTCCCCCTTATCAGGCACTCTGATGTCCTACAGCTCCTCAATCACGGTCATTCCATTACTCAATCAATAAGACCATCACCTCCCCACCAATGTACTTATGAACTGCCATTACAGGCTTCAGGATGAAAGTCTGGATGACATCCTACTGACCTAGAAACTTTCTAGCTCTGTTCAGGCTTTCGGGTATTTTCCCTACCACCTGAAGGATAAATGAGATTTAGATGGAAGTAGGGTGAATTAATGTTACCACCCTGGGTATCCTCACTGAAAATCCCACTGAAGTCCCTACATTTCTAAATTGAGAACTTCTCTGAAGGGATTGACATGATGGAATGATTGACATGATTACCTTTGTGGATAATCAGTATTCCTTGAGGATCTAGGACTTCTAACTCAGCTGACATCTGTTACCCCTTTAGCAGGGGCAGGAAAGCCAAGGCAAGACAAGGCTGTTCTCAATAGTGTTGGAGGAAGAAACTCATTACTCCAGATGGGATCTTTCAATCAACCCAGGCAAGAGAGCAGAAAATATTTAGTTATCTACTAAGGCACAAGATTTACAAAGCAGGATGTAAATTGTAGAGCAAATCAAAGCCACATTTCCAAATGAAGCTCTCTTCCAGTTTCTTTTATTAAAAAGGACAGGTAGGTGTTACTGTGGCTGTCAACCTGAGTAAGGAGGTGAAGAAGCAGTTTAGTCAGGTGATGTTTGGCTACAATTAGTTACCATTCTTACAGATCTTCTCAGACACTTGTAACACAGTTCAGTAAGTTTGAACTCAGGACAGAGCCAGTTTATGTTAATTCCAAAGTACCTGTAGTTCTAGAATTCTGTGAAGCTTCATTACAAGATAAATTTTATTTTTCTCTTCAATTCATCCATAGGTTTAAAGCACTCAAGGAAATTTGAAAACACAGTGTTTCATTTCACTTCTATGCATAAGTCAGTTTTTATGCTTGTTTTGTGGATGGATAAAAGGAATAATCAGGTTAACAGTAGATCAACACCATAACTCTACAGTAATCCCAGGAGTTGCAGCCAGCTCTAGAACATGCAGTATAGTTTAACTACAAGTCTTCTTTCCTTTTAAGTATCTAATTAATAACACCTATTAGACAGCAATTTCTGAAGTAGGGTAGTCTGTTTAAAGTTTAATACTGCAATAATTTTAACCTTTTTTTTTTCTATGCTACTATTTGAAAATTTTACTTATATTGAATGGTAAATATTTTATCTGGGAAAATTGCATAGTCCCATGTCATGTTATGGCTGTGTTTATTGGATTCAATGCATCTCCACAAAGTGCTTATAAATCACGGCTTCAGTGATCTCTATTTCAGATTGCATAAGCAGATGCCAGTGTTGTGGTTCTGTACATTAACTGGTTATGATCGCAATAAAATCAATTATAAGAAATGCCATTTTGGAAGCCAGCACTATAAAGCAATTTTAGCATTGGCAAGCTCCCATACCCTCCTGCTTCCACCTACAGTAACTCAAGTATAGTCATTGTCATGAAAGGTCGCATCTATATTCATAACAAAAAATTTCTCAAATAAATTAGTGCTGAGCATAAAGCATGCACCAAGCTCTCTGACAGATTATTAAAAGGCTGCTCTTGCCAGAGGGTGCTTATCTTAATCTGGGGCATAGCACTGCAGCTGTGAGCAAAGGCACAGGAGCATCACTGGGTACAACTTTTTTCTCTTGAAAACACAAATGACCTGCACATCTCATATATCTGTAAGAGACAGTGTTGACTGGAATTACATCTCAGCAACTTTGGAAGCATTTCTGCTCCATATGTGAGGTATAAGTATCATCTCTAACAGCAAGGACATGAAAAAAAATCTGTGTAGCATTATATAAAGCTGGATTAGAAACTTTGAAATAAACCCCCTCCAAAGGCCTCCTGACCAATTTATAAAATTAATTTCAGTTGCACTAGAGTTATAAACATCAGACTTCCCTGCAGGCAAAACAGAAGTTTACTTTTCCATGCCTGTTACTGAGCCAAGTTCAATTCCTTGGTAAATCTTCACAGAACAGTAAGATAGAAAGGACTAGAAAACAGGTCAGACCCAAATCTACTACATAGGTTTTTATGAAGTTGCTTTGGCTGCAGAGATTTATTAGGGCTATCCATTGCCCCAAACCAGAATTATCAAAAAGCATTCCTTGTAAAAAATGTGTATATGATATAGAAGAATTTTCATTATGATACTAAAGGTACTTCTATTTTCTGATTTTTTTTCTTTTAAATAATCTGGACTATTGTGAGTCTATCATATTGTTTATATTAAAAAGTTGCATTTAGAATTAGAATTATCCTGAGTCTATAAATACCTCTGGTCATGGACTAATAAAAAAGTGCACTTTTGCCCCCACAAATGTGTTTAGAAGGTTGACCTTCAATTCTACAAGTGTCTTACTAGTCCAAGTCACAAACTTGAAAAGGATAGAGGTTGTTAGAGACCAGGCAATTGTCTTTCTGTAAACTGAAATTGTGTTTTAATTGGTTATATTTGCAGGACTGCTAAATTTAAGAGTGGCCATCATTTATTCTCTGAAGAGTCCAGCTCTTCATTTCGTTGACTAAAATGCTCACCCATTATTTGGTGGTTCCATTTAAACACATTGGTCAGAGATGTACTGATGCTTTTTCAATGACAGTAGGTTTTGCAACTACTTTTTTCCCAATATTTGTGACATTTTATTAATTTTGATGAAGTTCTAGATGAGATTTTGAGTTTACACCTCGAGCTGAAAGCTGAAGACCAAAAACAGGATGAAGTGAGCCCCAGTAGGGTGAAGGCAAATTGTCAACTGGCACAGGTCAGTTTTCCACAGCCTTTCATAATTCCTTGCTGTTACAAGAACAAAACAGCTGGAGTACACCCCACAGAAAATAAATACCATGCTTGGAAGTGTAAGTCAGGGCTCCGAGTCTATGGATTATTATGGAAGCTAGAAAGAGGTGGAAACACAGCAACCAGCATAAAGAGCTAGCAAAAGTCAAAACCCTTTTCTGATTAACATAAAATTTCATCCTTTCAAAATCAAACTATTTAGTGGCTCGTATCCTTTGCAAGGCACTTTTCTTTTCAGCGTCGAAAACAGACTTTCTGTTTCAATTTAAAAACAAAACAAAACAAAACAAAACAAAAAAAAACAACAGTTCACCTGAATTTTATTCACATTTTTTAGATCTTCCACCACCACCCGACCCGCCCCCCGGTCAGGGTTTAAGGCAGCCCATAGTGCCCGGCCAGCGCGGAGGCTCTGCCGAGAGGAAGGGGAGCTCTCTGGAGAGGCAGCACGCAGCAGCCAACGTAGATGACTCAAAGAGCTCCCTGGACCGGCCTGCTAGGACATCACTAGAGTGGCAGCGGCAAGCCCAGGAGTGGATAAGCTCTACAGACCGCCAAGAGGATTTCAGGAAAGCCCAACACAAACAAGCCTTCGGATCAGGTGCGTGTGCGCCGCACCAGCCGAGGCTGCTCCACCCCTCTGTCGAGGGGTTCTGTGCCTGGCAGGGCTCTAGGATCACCTCACACCTCTCTAGGAGGCCACTGTCGAGGGTCAGGCTGGAAAATGAGGAAAGGCAAAGTGAAACGAGAGCTTCTGATCCAGCTATCTTCCATCCTGCAACAATGAAATCTCATTAGCGCCTGACTCGGTGCATTCTTTGCAGTGTTTTGGAAATTAATTATGTTCTCAAGCGTAGCGATGGAGAAAATAGAAAGTTTCCAGCCAGCAGGGAAAGAGAGAGATTTTTAGAGTATCTTTTGTTAGGTATATTTATTTATAGATATAGGACCATATTTTCCAGTTCTTTCAACCTGCTTCCAAGTTGACAGCAGCTTTTACGTGTCTGCAAGAAGGCTGATCTTTCTGAGCTACTGGCATTCCTTTCAGCTGCATTAAAAACCCTCTCTTCTCTTTATTCCAGGCTATGACAAAGTAGCATTCATCTCTTAAGCCCAGCAAGATGACAGCGCAGGTTTTCACTTTCATACAGGACCTGCACTTTGCCCCAAGCTGACTTTAGCACCTAAATGGATTTCAGGTCTGCACAAATGTGCACAGGAGGTGATGCTAGGCTGGAGTTGGATTTCTGCAATATTCACAGTTTCCCTCTCTCAGCCTGACCTCAAGTAAAAGCTGCTGTTTTATCCTAGGGCGTTTTCTTTAACCCATTAATCATCTCATCCCAGTGCAGTGCTGATTAGAGTGATACAAGAGGACAAATAAGATTTAAACAAAAAATTATACTGCATGCAAAGTTTTTTTGTAGGGTTACACTGTTTCTTCTCTTATGTATGTAGCTCCACAGTCACACTAGAGGTACTCTTATCATACATCTTTTTCTTGATTGTATTCACTCTTAATTCACGCACTTGTTAATCTAACACACTAATGCCATTGACATATAATAAAAAAAAGAGTAGTGTGCAGACAAATCTGTCATGGGGACAGGATTTACAGTCCTTCTAGGGAAAATACTGCTACCTGTATTTAAAATTTAAATATTTTAAATACAATTTATATTTTAAAAAATAACAATAATGGTACTGTTAAAACCCCGTAATTTGTTGGCTTCATAAACAAGTGAGTAGCTGTTCATGCTCTGAAATCACAAGTTACAGTTTAAAAATAGTGTGTGAAATGCATGCTGCTTGGTTAAATGGCAATTTTAATTGCAGTTTAGAAGATGTACAAACACATAGAAAATAGCCTGACTATACCTTACACTTCTCATTTCCTTGGATTATTATTATTAAGGATGCTTCCCTGACCTGCTTAGAAAGAATTTCCTCTGTATCACATGTGTGTAAATAGAATTTGTCATTTATTCTGTGATGCAGAGCTTATACAGTAGCAAATTTCCCATCCTGCAGGGCTTGCATTTATCTGTCCATAAACAAAGAGAACTTGATCCTGACACTTCCAGTGCTCTGCACTGAAGTGGTTACAGGTATCCTGTTCTTGTCAAATTTAGGACTCCAAGAGCAAGGGCATATCCTTTATGCATAAAAAAAGGATGCCTCTAGAAGATGCTATCAGTTTTCCTGGTGTGAGGAGTTCACAAAGTTTGTTCACAAGATGAGCCAGGGCTCCATATCTCTCTGTCTTCATTCTCATTCCAGCCTCTTGCACTGCAGCTTTCTTGCTCTGCACTCTTGTCTCTGGTAGATTTTAAAAGGGCTACTCTTGTGTGTGATGCTGGTTTATATCACTGAATTTGGGTGTTTTAATAATATTAATTGTGCTTCTTCCCTTTTCCTTTATAAATGTCATAGTTCTTTGGAAATCCATTCTGTCCCAGTTTTCAATACATTTCCAAAAAAGAGTTGTTATTATTAGTTATCAGGTTCCAGAAAATAGATGAATTGCAGCTTAGGGGGTTTCATCCAGATGTTACCAAGCTATGAGTGAAATTTTGAAAGAAAGACCTTTAGCTTGAAGTTGAATAGAATAAAAATACCTAAGTATGGGATCTCTGTTTCCACTGGTTGCTTTCAATATAAACAAGACCACTGAGTTCCTGGCAGTGGCTTCATTGTAGAACTGGAGTAAAAGCTCATAACATATGGCATTCTCAGCTCCCCCCACCCAGACAAAAGTGGTGCTAGACCAGGTTACAATAATTTTAAAAACAAGAAAAGCCTTTGGGTTATTTTCTGGGGTAAAGAGGCATTGTTACATACACATCCTAATTTCACAGGGGCTAGAATTATATCTTCAAATTAATGGCCCAGTATTTCAAAGAAAAAGGCACCAGCAAAACCTCCCCATAATCTTTGCAGGTCTGGATGTAGGGCACTGTTTGGAGAGTTTAATAAATGTGAGACCATTCTCAGGACTGGAGACAACTACTTTTCGTGTGCTAGAATGCTGTGTAAAACCTAGCCTTTATTTATGTCACAATTCCTTATTTTATGGATTATGTTTATTTCTGAGTGAACAACAGATAATTTAACATACCATATGCTCTATAATGATAATGCACTTTATATTTATTCATGGTTGTTTTTTCTCAATATTTCATTGAACCCGAAGGAGGCCTTATCCTGAGTCCACCAGCTAGAAAAACAAATCAATTGACTATATATGTCATCTTCCAACTCTTTTGCTACGCTAGTGACTTTTGTTTTCATCCTTTAAAAATGTATCCAGCTTTCTGCTAAACTGATTTATGCTGCTTGCTTTATTGCTGCCTTAATGCAAACTGTTCCATATTTTAGCCAGCCAGTTTCTTTTTTCCAAAGAAACCAGGTTTGCTTCTGACTCTATTGTTAGGTCTTGATATATAAAAAAACAAGTGACATAATTTAGGAGAGACTGTGACTGTTAAATGCCATTTTGCAATGAATTTCAAGCATTTATTTTCATTTCAGCAGGGACAGCACACAGTCATAGCACAAAACACTGATAATGCCCTTACATCCTGCAGCACAAATATTCTGGTCCCTCAGCAGGACCAGAGGGAGATGCTTTGGCAGGGAAAGAAGTCAGCTGCTTGCCCTCTTCTGCAACAGATTTACCTTAAAACAGTCTCAGTTCAACAGCAGCTCACATGGGGAATCCCCACATCCTACTCTTGTGGAAAAAAATGAAATCCCAAGTTTCTTCCATAAATTTGTTCTCATTTAGCACTTCTCTAAGTTAATTATGCCTCTGTTGCAGTCTTTGCAAAGGCTTCAAGCTTGTGAATAAAAGCGTTTCTATCTCCTCTTTCTTTCCAACCATCCCCACCTACTTTCCAACCATCCCCATTGTGTTGCTGCCTTCTGTCAAAGAAAGTCCATTTCTCCTCAAAAGGTTGTTTAAGAGTGAAGACAATTGGAAAGCCAAAATAAAGAAAATCCTTTGGGCCTAAATTCACTTTGAAAAAAGGCAAATTTCAAGCAGTAGAAATCCTACTCATTTCAGAAAGGACAATGCTGTGTCTGAGGTTAGGCATATATACTCATATTCTTTCTTGAATCAAACTATATTTAGCAATATCTCTTTCTTCAGCCTCTGAGAGGGCAAAAGTGGATCATGCACAGCAAAGAAACAGAATAGTGCTTCTGTTTCAGTGTTAAATCAGTTCTGCTGTTATGCTTCTTAGATTTGGATTATTATAACAATATCTCCAGGAAACTCTAATCAGAAGTGATGTCTTGTTTTATTTCATGCTACATGAAGACATACAGTCTTATGCCTTATTGCCATTAATCCTGCTCTTGAAAGTAGTTCATTATTACAGGTCTTCACAGAAAAAGAATCCAAGTGAGCAAAAGTAAGACTTTTGCTCATAATGGAACATGAAACAAGCTGCAGGATTATTTATCCATTCCAAATATTACAACTGCAATGTATAATATAATATTTTTCAATGTAATTCAACACCAGTTAAAAATTGTCAGTGTACTTTGCATTGTTAGAAATTACTGAGTTGCTGGAAGCTAATTAAATTAGCTGATATTTTCGTTCCTTATCTAAACTGATTGAGGTAATGTTGCCATAATTTAAGCTAAAGAAAAGGAAAAAACACATTTATGTAGGCTTGAAGCAAAAATCTAATCATAGCTTCATTGTTTTGGAAATTGCGTGTTCACCTATTTTCATTAAAGTATTTATGATTCATGGTCTCATGCATAATGAATCTAGACTTTTTATAATTAATACAAACTGACTTAGGAATTCACAAGGAAGCAAGCTTTAAATTCATACTGGCTTCTCTGTCCTTGGGATACAACTCTTACTTGTGTATTTTCTTAGGTAAAATTGTTATGCTATCAAGCAAGAAAAAAAGACAGATATGAATGAATATGATGTGCATAAATGAATAGCTTGTTTATTCCTACTTCTAGGCTTTTATTGGTATTTATTTTGCTTTGTTTTGCTTTTCTAGAAGAGGCACTCGTACCATATAGTAAACCCAACTTCCCATCCCCTGGTGGCCACAGCTCTTCAGGAACATCTTCTTCTAAAGGATCAACTGGACCTAGAAAAGGTGAAGTCTTGCGAGGAGGTCACCAACGCAATGCCAGTGACCTTCTCGATATAGGCTATGTGGGATCAAACAGTCAAGGACAGTTTACTGGTGAATTATGTAAGTTTACCTCTAGCTCCAGTTAAAACTCTCAAATAGATAAAAGAAAGAAAAATATAAATCTCTTGTGAAGGGAGTAGAAAGTTGTGTGTGATATTCAGATTAAGCTTTGTCCAGGTCCTTTTGCCTTCTGAGGCATATTGCATGTGATGGCAAACAAATGTCCTTCTGTTTCTTGCTTTGGTCCAGTTCAAATCTGTGTAAGCCATGCCAAAGTTATCTACATGGTACATCTTTCTGTGTGTAATGCTAGTGAAGCATGAGGAAGATTGAGAAGGAATTCTAATAACTTGGAATTTTTTTTTTTTGGCAAAGTGTAGTGTGCTTGTCTTGGAAATGACAATGACAGATTTCCTCTCCTTAATTTCCTGTTTGATGAGAAGTATTCTCTGAGATGGAGGTCTTCTCTTCTTGACTGTGTAGCCCAGTTTTTCAGTTTTATATCTCCACTTTTTTCCTCAGCATCCCAGGACAGGGAAATGTTTTCCAAATTTGTTTTCTATTATCACTCAATATCTGTTAAACTTTCTATGAATCCGTGTTGATTCTATGTACATGCTGGAAGTACCAGCTGCCTAAAGGCTTGACTCTGTTTTCTTGTTTGAAAAAGAACATCAAAACCCCAGCATACTGGTGTGTTTAATAAAATGGTAATAAAAGCAGTGTAGCTGCTGGCATGTGTGCAGCCTCTTGCTGCAGTCAAGCCCTCAGCAGCTCCTGGCAGTTACTGCCCCATAGCTGTAAGAGAGCTAATGGTGACCCTGAAATGTGCAGTCTCAGATATGGTGTTGGTAAGTGCTAAATTTTAGCATCCCTTGCTTTCCATCTAAGAAGCAATTAACCTTGTTCTCACAACCTATTGAATATTCATCCTGTGCTGCAGTAATATTGCCATAAGCTTTATTTTGTGTGGTTTTTTTTCTCCTTATTACAATCTCTTTCTCTCTCTTTTGTTTCTCTCTATAGAGTAGTTGAGAAGACACATTGCAAGCTGCTCTGATGGACCATCAGGTCTGAACTCATGGAAGTGATGACACTAAACAGTGCAATGAACATTTTCTTTATTTATGTACTATTAAAAGAACTGTAAATGCAATGTAAAGACACACAGCCACACATATCCCACAGATACTTTACTTGTGTTCTTCTCTTTAATACACCATCCACCTTAAACTATTCCTTGTCAGGAGTATATAAAAAAAGAAAGAAAAAAATCACCCTCCAGGATTAAAAGGATTTCCTTCTGTATATAATTTCTTTTGTTGCATTGCTATGCAAGCTCACCTTCTTTTTAGCTATGTTCATATTCATGTCTGTTTTTACTGGTCTGTTGTACTATATGTGAATTAATAGGCTGTGGTGCCATATATTAACTTTTAATTGTGTAACTTTTATGTTTAAAGTTTGCACTGCAATTTTATTTGGTGATAAGCACAAAACTCTACTCCTCATGACATGAAGAAAAAAGAGACTGAATGTGTGAAGAAGGTTTACATCCTGTAAGCTACTTTGGATAATGCTGGATGTAAAGGAGTATGTTGGGTGGTTTTCCATTGGGGTGTAGAAATGAGAAAGTGACAGGCAAAACTGATGTCAGTGAAGACATTAGAGACAGATATAAACCTTTTAAAAGCAAGCAACATAGTTGCTCTTCCTATTTAAGAAGGGGTCAGAAGCTGGAAGTGTGAGATTAAAGAGTGAAAATGAAAATTAAAGGTAGCATGAGATGGCCTAGGCCCTTTCACTAGAGTGATACCCTTAGTATCTACTTTTAGCCATCCCATGCCACTAAGTAAAGGGGAAGAAAAACAAACCTTGCTAAAAACAAAAGAACTTAAGGTGTTTCACTAAAGCTGTTTTTATTTTGCAGTTTTTAAAGAATTATTACCATTAATTTCTCCAGCCCAAAACATAGGACAGAGATTTTTCAGGAGAAACAAACCATATAAACACAAGGAATACCTAGTAAGAAGATAAGAATGCAATTTATTACTAAGACATATTGAGGCTGCTTCCAAAAATTGAAATGTCAGAGTATCCTATTTCATCTTTCCAATAGATGTACAGTACGATAGAGGATCAAGCTGCACCACTGAAATTCATGACATTAATTGTTTTGATGCAGTCTACACAACCCTTTCTGTTCCATACCTGAAGTCTGCAAGAGCTGAAGTTCCATCCACTAAATTTGTAGTAAAATGTTTCATTTTTGGAAGGAAAGCGATGGTCAAATTATTTTTGGCTTGCATTAGGTATATTTCTGGCAATACAATACATCCAAAAAGTTGGATATAAGCAAAGGGAATTTTTGACCTATGTTTTAGTGAGTGGCTTCAAACTCTACTATGATGAGGAAATAACGCATGTTTATACACTTTTTGAATAAACCAGACTCTGTAAGTGGACATTAATGACAGCATCCTGTCTCTTCATTAATTTTCACGACTTGTTCCAAGTCTTCTTTACCTCTCAAATCTCAAAGAATAAATTCTCAAGCTTTTCTTAGAATATTGTGTATGGCTAACCCACCCATTACTTTGATGCTTAATTTAAATATTGCATCTTACAGCTTATTTCTGTTAGTTATCTGACCATGAAAACAAGTTTTCATTGAATCCCCTTTTCATATAACCAGTCTATGTTGTTTTATATTTTGCCTTGGAGCTCACCAGTATTAAGAACACTTTTTGTCATGGCAGAATTTTAGAAAAGTAAATTACAATGCTAAATATGTGTTGCTTTTCATTTCATTAACATGTTCCATGATAAGATAAAACACGCCAGCCATCAGCTATAACTCAGCACTACTGAATATTGAAAAATGCTAGTTAGCTCCCTTAAGGTCAAGATGTGTTATTTAGAAAGTTACAAACAAAAAAAAGTCGAGGAATAAAGGTATGAATTTATTTACATATGTGACCAATGAGTATATGCCATTTTCCTGCTTGTTAAAACATTATAGTTAAAAGCATAACTTAAAAATGTGCAAAAATGTTCAAGTAAGATAAAGAATGCAGCATAATTACATATGCATGGTTTTTATTTTGGTATATACCATATGAAGAGAAGACTATTCAGACTACAATTCAAATTTAATTCTCTGGAAAATATTTAACTCAGTCGCCAATAGTAGTTTTCCCCCCTTTTAATTCAAAAGCTTGTGCTGAGCTTTGGTGGAACACCTTACTTACTCTGTTCTCTTCAAAATTCAGTATCATTAGAGGTTGATAAAGCCATTCCAATTACTTTCAAATATGTGTTTTATCTCTTCCACTGGAAAGTAAATGTGTGTCAGTATTAAAGCTGTTCAATACCATGATATTCACTAACTTGTCCATCTGCTTCTGTACATTTTTGTTCATTAATAATTTGCTTACAATATTACATAAGGTGTTGTTGTGTATGGCAAAGTGTCTCCATTATCTTACAGGTGATGTCTCTTCTTTTTTTTTTTCTCTCTCTTTTCTATACAGTGTACTTCCAATGAACCACAGTACATATTTTTTAAAATGCCATTTAATTTACTATTTTAAAAGAAGTATTCTTCTTTTTTTAAAAAAATGAAAACATTTATTGTGAATAATGTGTTTAAAGAAAAGGGATGTTGTGGCAGCACTTAGAATTGTTTTTCAATTTGTTTTTTTTAAACTGTTTATTGGCTACAGTTTGTTCACGAAAAAGTATGACCTCTTAATGTGTTTCATTGGTATTGTTAGTGCAGCAAAGTTTAATTGGCATAAGAAGTTGGTTAATAGTACTGTTGAAGTGTGTATTGTATATTTACTGGGGAAAAAATAAAAAATATTCACATTTCAAATCTATGTTAAAAGACCTTGAGTAAGGAGTCAATATGTGAAAACCCAAACAGGGAAAATCAGGCAATAATAACATAGACTGAGCTATAATCATCACTGTCCACTTACAGGTGACAATGAACATTTTGTACACTGTTTTTTGAACTAAGCAATGAGCCAGTGGTAAACATTGCCTGTCTTAGGGGTTTCTGTTTAATGTCCTGTCTCTCCTGGAACAGTTGTACCATTGTAATTACACTGATACAGCTATTCCAGTGAAAACTCTGCTTGTAGCTGTGTTCTCTCTGTGTGGGGCAAGCACTGCAGGGGCACAGCTGGCTCTGCCTAAAGTCCACAGAGCAGTGGATGTGGAAAACCTGGTCTGAACCCTCACATCTGGGGCTTGGTACGGGTGGAGCTACTGCCAACCCAGTACAGAACACCCCAAAATGTATGGATAGGTCAATTTTTCTCAATCTTTGTGCCGAATACAGGCTCAATTTTAAATGCAGGAAGGCTGAAGGACCAAATAATGAATTCTTCCATGTGCTTCAGTGGTGTATTGCTGTATGGGCAGCCATTTCAGTGATGCAAGGAACAGACATTTCCTTTCTTGATGTTTCTTTTTTTTTTTCTCCCCTTTATTTCTCAGGTACATATCCAAGTCAGTAAACCTTTAGAATACCTTTTGGTTGTCACCTGAAATGCAACAGAAACACCATTCCTTGGAAAAGTACTAAAGATAAAGTGTGTGGAATGTTTTTAAGTGTATTAATTTAACTGCACACAAGTGCAAAAGGAAAACAAGACTGTTTTAAATAATTATATGCTGGTTTATGCTTGCCTCAGCCCATGCATTGCCAGCCATGAGAAAAGGTGTGTACTGAGGCTGAGAAAGAGTCCTCACAACTGAAAAGGGAAAGGGAATAGGGTTGGGGGAGATTTTGGCAGGAACTTCTATTTAAAAAAGAAAAAATTACAGGCAGCTCCTTTGGCTTGTCTACAGTTTATGCAGTTTGGGGGTTTTTTTATGGTTAATGGCCTTGTGGAGTTTTAGCGGGGAACTAGAAAGAAAAAAGTCAACTTTTTGTAAAGACTGGGGGGTACTTGTTTGCTGAGGGAGAATTTTTTAATTTAATTTTTAATTTTTTTAACACGTGCTTTGTGTTTCATCTATCTGGAACACATTAGCTAAAAAATAATATGTTTTTGAAGACCATGTGGGCAGCAGACAATTCATTTAGGAGGCAAATTCAAATAGCAGAAAAAGGGGAAAAAGTAGTACTAAAATAAGTAACACATACTGGTTTAGAAACAGCCAAGTCTGCCACATGCAATTTTGAACAGTGCAATGATATATATAAACTTCATTTTGGTTTCCATACCAAAACTAATTACCCAAAGTCCATAGGAGGCCTAGATCCTCAGGACACTAAATCTGGTGCTTTGTTTGGAGTATGTGGTTAATCCAAGCTGGTGAGAGTGGAGGATGCTCGGGGCTGTACGCAGCCCCAGCCCTGGCTGCTCAGAGCCCAGGGAGTCTCCAGCAGAGGAGTCCTCATGGCTTCAGGCTCCGTGGGCTCCAGTGGATCCCAGGCAGGTCAGCACGCAGAGGAAGGTCACATCTCTGAGGACGGAGTTTTCGGGGCAGAGAAGGTTTTTATGTCTGTGGCACCATGGAGCTCCCCGAGGCGTGTCTCACGTTTTGGGACTGCCCTCGCCCAGCTCTTTCTCAGTGCTCTCCTGCTGTGGTCTGTGCACTCAGTGCTGATGCTGTTCCCTGGATCTGGGGTGTTTGGTATGAGGGCTGCAAGAGCCATGGAGGTGCTCTGCATGCATTGAGTGGCTGAATATATGGATAAAAGCTTTATTAATTCAGGGGGACCAGGGACACAGAAGAGCAGTGGCACCAGACATCTGTCCTGCTGTGTCTAGCTTGTTCCCCTCTTCCCTTCAGGACTGAGCTCCTTCCTGCCAACACTCCTCCACCCAAATGAACAGATACAACTCACAGATATCTCATGGGACCCACAGGAGATGTAGGGCCATGCCTACATGCATGATGGACTGGTTATTTGGGGAGAAGTAGCTTTGAGTTCCACAGCTGGTGTGAGGACTAGATTCCTCTTTAGCCTGACTTGATTTAACTGTGTAGCTACATCCAGGAAGACCCGAGCAGAAAATAAGTTCCTAGAGCAGAGCTCAGCATTGCAGCAGCTCTTCTGGTATGTGGCTCCTTATTCAGTCTGTTGTAGGCAGTCCTGAGTTCACTGCTGAATTCTCAGCACATCCTAAGGACTCAGATGGTTTATGCTGACATCTAGGCAAGTGAGGATGCTCCTCTTGCTTTAGCAGAATGGAAAAAAAAAATAAAAACCAAAAAATGTCAAAACTTAGACCTTTTACTTCAACACAAAACTTTTTAAACAATATGCAAAAATCACAGAAAACAGCATTTCAGATGTATGTTTGACATGTTTTTTTTTTTTTTTTCTTTTTCTTGGTATTTTGTTTTGGCTACCATTGAAATAATCCATTTGGTTTTTTTCAGAGCTGTAACACTGTCCCTGCACTGCCCCCCTCCCCCGCCCCACCCCTATGCATTTTCCAGCATTTATCTTTCATTTGTAAAGAAGTTATGGTAAAGAATAATGACATTTGTGTACTTACATTGTTCTAACTTTAAGCAACAAGGTGCACAGTTGCATTCAGTTCAATTGATCAAAGCCAGATGGGCACAAAATATTTGTGGGGCTTTTTTTCTAAAAAGGCCTGCTTTTTGTGCTGATATTTGTTCTCCATTCATGCTGATCAGTGCATCTTTTGCCTTCAAGGATGCCATTAGTAATTCTCCTTTGTGTTCAAAAGCAGGAATCCATTGTGCAGCACTTGGAGAGCCACTCGGATGCAGGTAAAGAATATAAGAGCTTGAGCAAGTGCTAATTAGAACCAATTAAAGTTAATTGACCTCCTTTGGCAGTAAAATGCATAATAGAACTTGCTCTGTCCTTGCAAAATGGAGATCTTGCCTCTAAGCATAGGAGTGAAGCAGGGTTTCATGTAGCATCCCGTAGTAATTATGTGGGTATAACAACCAGGAAGCTGCTTGCTACAATTTATTCTAGTAACTGAGCTCTACTGTATCAGGGCAATGCAATAAAAGTGAGATTTCTTCTCCAGTCTATTTAAAAACCTAATTTTTACAGAGCAAATGAGCATCCCAAGGTACCGATACTAATCTCTAGGAATGAGTTGGCAGAAAAATAGAGTCCTTTTTATAGGTAAGTAATGGTGTGAGCATAAAAGGCAGTTTTACACCTGCTGCTTGGCAATAGCCCTGATGCTCAGAGGCTGCATCTATCCAGGACAGTGGGGGAAGCTCTGGCAGGCCTGCACTGGGTGAAGGATCTGCCCACAGTTCAGAGGGGCTCCCCGCTGAACCTTGCCATGAGGTTGCCTTCGGTAGACTTCTGTTGGAAAAGGGGCGCTGGCATCCATCCAGCTGAGGTTTGTGGTGCTGCAGGACTACACCACTGCCAGGGCAACACTGTGGACATGGTCAGAGGTACCCAAATAAAAGAGAGAGAAAGAGCAGGGGAAAGAATTAAGGGTAGGAAATGCAAAATTGTATGAATTCAAAACCATCAGTGGTGGGTGCTAAACTATACATCGCTGTGAAAAGTTCAAAAGCCATTTTTATTAGAAAACCAGAATTGATCCAGTTTCCATGACCATGCTTTGATGACTTTTTGCTTGGCAGGAACTGAATGCGACTGATTTTGCTGCTAACTTGGCCTTACTATGAACAGCAATAAAGGTGTTAGTCAGGTGGGGACTTTGATGTGACCAATAACATCACTCTCCCTTCAGGGAATGTTCTGTGCTGGCTTGTTAATGAATTTCTTTCCTAATGAGTATCATTAAAAACCCTTTGATTAGCTATTTGTGTGAATGCCCTTCCTTTTTCCTCTAAGCTGCTACTTGCAGGAGTGGCAGCAGGATTTTGCCCTAGGCAGAAAGCGTGCAGCTCTATTCCTCACCTCATGAATACAAGTCTGAGGCAAACAGCAACAGGAAAGAGGGTGGAAAGAAAAATAAGAAAAATTAAAAAAGACCTCACGGATGAGTTGAAGTTATTTTCTACACATGTACAACCTGAGCAGGCACCAGCATTCAGATGGGACTGTCATTAGGGGAAATGAAGAGCAATAGGTGGTGATGTTGAAGCATGCAACAATAATTTACATACACCTCGAGTGCCAAAAGGCAGAGAAACAAATAAAGCTATAACCTGGGGAAAGGGAATGCCAGAGACTAAATGGGCCGCAACGAGCAAACAAAAAATGCCATGTCATAAAATGTAGCAAAAAGCCTGGAAAACAAAATAAAAAACAAAACAAGGCATTTCAGATCCAAGGCACCTTAATGAGATATTGATGGCACAGAAATTGCCTACTCCTATGCAAGACAAAAGAAGACTAAGAAACACAAAAACAATTAGGAAACAGATTTGGCCATCTAAGGTTTAATAGAAAGAGATGTGGCATAGCAGAGTACAATTAATCACCAATTGCCTGAAACACTTTGCTCTCCCAAGCTCCTGCAGACCTGTCTCCCCTGCTCCAATCTTAAAATTACAGTCACCCAATCCAGTTTGTATTTAAAATAAACCTCTGCTATTCCTTTCCCAGTCCCTCAAATCTCCCAGTCAATTGCAGACATGGATAAATAGATATTTTGTATTTACTCTACTGTCACAGGCTTCAAAATACCTTCAGTCTATCCACCCCCTTCTTCCTTCTCTTTTCCCACCAGGCATAAACTTCATCTGCATATTTTCTACCTTGTTGTTAGGCATATAATGAGGCTTTTCTATTTTTGTCCTTCTTTGCCCAGAAAGGTATCTTAGCCACGTCACACTTGGGGATGTATAAAAGTTCACTTTATATTAGGTCTGTGTGGAATATGAGGTTTAAGTTTAAACTAGGTCACTGGGTGCCTTTAGAGCATTTGTAACTACGGGAGAGCCACTGATTGATGAGTCCTGATTGGACTGGCTCAGCCCTGTATTCAGAGCCTTAGAAATCCAGGGGAATGATCACAGTTGCAGAAGGATTTGGGCTGAGTGTCTCAGCCCGTGTCTGCTGTGCCACAAGCAATTCCCTGCATCAGCACGAGCACAGAAATGCACCTTAAAACAGCTGGGACCCTACGTCACTCTGAACAGTGATGACCTGCAAGTACACCAAGGGTCTGGTGAAATCTGTGAGAAAATTTTAGTCTTTCCTTATAATCAAGATGAAGGATTAGTTTCTGTCATGTGTGAGCAGATTTTTGCCTGTCAGAGGAGTGCCTTTCTACTCTGTGCACTTTGCAGCCCTGGGACATTCAAACACATTCTGATTTTCTCTACATGAATGTTTGGGTACATTAAAAAACCTGTTTCCAAACATGGGGCTTTGAATTCCCTTCTATTATAGTTCATATGTTCCTTTAGATCTTTTGAGGGTTACCCAAATCCCAAGGGTTTTCACAAACATTTATCATTAAGAATATTCAAAGAACAACCCTTTCCATATTTTCATATACTTTGCAGTCTCCTCCAGACCCATAAAAGAGAACAGAAATGAATTTCAGCTTTTGATTGCTGATATGTTACACTTTTGATTTCATGGAGGGATTTAAGAGGCATGATTTTCATAGAAACTGATGTCAATTAGTTAATTGGAAACTTAACAGTAAAAGTACTAGACCTCTGAGATCTGGTAAGTACCCTTATACTCTAGCTGAGACTAAAACCTTTCAGTACTTGTACAACTACTTTTTCCTTAATTAATTGGCTCACAGAATTACAGCATTTGGTAATATTTCTGGTAGAGTTTTCTGGGTGAAGAAACTTTACTTAGAAACTCAGTTGCTCTGATGAGAAACTCCTACTTGGACCAATATATGGAATTTCGTGGGACAAGTGAGTCTCACATGCCTTTATAGCAGTAGCAACACTCTTGGGAAAAAAAAAAAAAAGGAAAAAAAAGAAAAAAATCCAGGTAAACTCAGTGCCCTTTAGTGAATACAATTTTTTGAATGTATAAGCCGGGAAGCCATTTTTTGTATGTCATAAGCCAGGAAATGTTTGTTTTGGCAGGGGTGTGTTTGTGCCTGCCACAGCACCTCACTGGTGACACTTAGAGCTCGAGCAGCCATGGGAGTGGAGGGCACAGAGAAGGAAAGGAAAGTGAGGGGAGAATAAAAGGACATGCAGTATTTCAACAATGGTTTTCAGGATAAAAAGTAATTCTTCTTTATGTTCCTAGACAGTTCTGTAGCAAATTATGGACACAAAAATTCTCCTTTTGCCTACAGCCCATTCTTTTCTTTAGATTTTGATGAATTTAAATACTTGCTCAGGAAAGAAAATTTCAGAAAAAAAACCCCTTATGTTAAAAATGAAAACAATGTGGGTCTGTTCTTAGTGCAGGCCTCTGACTATCAATATTAGGATGTGTCAGTGAATCGATTATTGTTTGTAAACTGTTCCTAGTGCTGACAATAATAATGACACAATGCTCTTAATTAGTTCCAGGGAACAAAAAATAGACACAAAATTCTCCCCCTTTTTTTTTAATGGTAAATAGGTGGTTTTTTTCCCCTCTGCTACTCAATGTTTTTGTTGCAGTCTTGAGGGTGTTTTGAAGCATCTTATGCTGTTCACTTCCTTAAATCCGTTTATTAAACTGAATGTGGTTGAGCATGAGGCTGACATTTGGTGGTTCTCACGCAGTTTCTAATAGCTGCAGGGTGCTCATTTTTGGAAGCAGTTTTATGATGCCACAGAATGTCTTCTCTGCTTTTGCTGGCACATATCATGCCATATAGCTGAAGCTGGAGCTGTCAGGACTGCGTGTCTCTATTTAGCAGACCATTGTTTGTCATTGAACAGATATTCTTGGAGTTTTTTCAACTATAGCATTGTTGCCAATGGTTAAAATTTCAAAGCTTCATAAATGACTGTGCACAGGAAGATGAATCCAGCTGGCAAACTTTCTACTTTTACGATTTTTGTAGAAGTCATCAACAGGGGAGCCAATAATTTTCACTCTCTGATGAAGCCTTCATTATGGAGCATCTGAAACCTTGTTGGTTGCAATGTGGATGACTTTGACATAATATCTGCAGTTATGTCTATTAGCACTCAAACAATGGGAATCGAGCAACACAAAGAGCCCCTGAAAATAGAGCAACTAAATTTTCCTCTGCATTTATACAGTGTACAGGTGTGAGGAGGTTCTCTCCTGTTATTTATTATGTCTTTGTCAGATTGTTTTTATTTTCATTTCCAGGTACATAAAACCTGCCAAATGTCAGCACTTGTAACTATCAGCTCTCAATAAATACAATCTACAGGGAAGGTGAGTCATGTTGGGCACAAAAAGGAGTAGGTAATGAACAAATGCATAATGAACAGCTTCAAAGGAAGGTCGAGTTAGCCCAAGACACTTTCTGTGTTGGTCAGATTTAATTTGAGGTTTTGTCTGTGCACAGATTCAGGAACACTCGTCACAGGAGCTCAAGACATGCAAAGAACAATTGTAGTGAATAATGAGGTTATTGTGCTATAATGGTATCATAACACCTGAAGCAGCCATGGTAGCTGTTGTTTCATCCTTCTTCAGCATTGATTTTTTCATTCGGAAATGAAATTTTTACAACTTTGACCTGCTAGTGGATTCTGTGATATGGAGGAAATGTTAATAACTTTTTTCCTCTGTTCCTCTTTTTTATTTTTTTTTTTGTCTTCTACTTCCCTGCAATAGACTCGTGTTGATCTGACTTGAGGTGTAGCCTATTATCATCACAATCCTGCTGATAAAGCACTCCTGCACTTAAAAAAGCAGTAACAATTGGCCAGTGCTACTAAAAGAAGCTATATCTCCTGGTTCTCCTTACAGAACTTGAACTTTTGTCAATTTTCACAACTCTTTAGAAAGGAATTTCTTATTCAGAAAAACAAATAAAGTTTTCCTTCAGAGAAAGAGTTTGATCCAGGCATTAATTCACTGCCAGACAGGATCTGATCCTTATCCTTTCACACCCTTCTAGCAGCATCTTACCTACAACAGTCCCAAATAATAGGTGGGGTTTACTCAGAGTGCAATATCTGTCTCATCCTGTTCATACAAGCCACCTGGACCTTCCTTACTCATGTAATTCATTTTTCACACCACTGTTCTTAAATTTATTATTTCCTACCGTCTGGACTGTAGCATTTTAATATATTCTGGCTTCAGTATTATTAATTGTCTTATCTTCAGTTTTCCTTATATTATTTAAAATATATTATTTTGTTTTTTGATCCCCCTCTACTTCTTTGCTTAAGGAAAATCAGAGCCTAATGTTCATCCAGAGCACACTAATTTACAGGTTGCCTGCACCTATCTACCTATTAAGATACATGTTACTGCTTTTACAGGTGTATCTGATAAATGGCCTGCTCCTTCCTTTGGTAACTCGTATGATGTGAAAAATCCTGGCCAAATAAAATTCTGGCTTTGAGAAGCTTTTTCACATCTCCTAGATAAGCCTATCTACCTTTGTGATATGTTGTATTTACAAAGTGTAATAAGTGTACAGCTTAGAAGAATTTCACATTTTCTCTTCCAAAATTTTCCTTCAAGTACAAAAGTTATACCTGGAAATTTGCAAAACAGCTTCAGCCTCTCTAAGCATGCATCCACACAGCCTGTAAGGGATTTGAGATGGCTTGAGTTCAACACAGCTACATAGGGAGAGACAGAACATGGCCAGCATCCTCACTCAGCTGTAGTCATAAATCATCATACAACCTGGCATTGACAAATTGATCTTGGCCTAGAGCATCCAGGAGCTTTGTAAGAAACCTGGCCAGGGAAGGGGCTCAAATATTAGCAGCAGAGATATGCT